CCGCCCGGTAAGACCCCTTTCGGGAGCCTCCCAGTTGGCGGGGGGGAGGGGGAGGTGCGCGGGGCGACAGGAGGGTCCTCGCTGAAGCGCGAACGGCTCGCTCCGCGGCCTGAGCGGCGCTCAGAGGGGCTTGCGCGCCAATAAAAGAAACGCGAACTTCTGTTTCGCGGTAGGAAAGGGCCGAGGAGCCCGTGGCCTTCGAGATGTCGTTGAACCAGTGCAGTCAAGGGCCAGATCCACCGCTAGTGTCTTCCAGGGCAAGCATGCGGTTGGTGTTGCCGCCTTCCGGAATTGCTATTATTTACTTCCCAATTTAGCTGCGGCCCTCGTGGTCTCTTACCCAAGTGCCAACGAGGTCCGATCCCGCTGATCTTTTCTAGATCAGCCAGGATCCGCTAGGTACTGCCACTTCGATGGGCGTGGCTGGATGCTTGCCCCGGTGACGCCCAGACTGTCGGCCACGCTAGGCGGCCGATCAGAGGCTACACGTGGTCCCCCTTTCTGTATGACACGAGCAGAAACCCAGCCCTAGTGCTCATTTATGGCATTTATGGCATTTTCTAGAGAGGGCTGAGTTGGATGGGCAACTGCAAAAAACACAGCTTTTATGTGTTTCTTATTTACTAAGGATACTCGGGTAGGCTGCTCTTAAGCCGTATTCTCAGAGCAGCTTAAAATTGAACATAGACTCTGTCTGCTTTTGTGGTATGGGGGTCTTGCTGTTCCATTGCTCAACACGTGCAGGAAGAAGAAAATGAGGTGGAGGAGGGACATTTAGTTAGTTATTTATTTAAGGGGCTTATATGGCTCATGTGACAAGACACATAAGTCATCTGGTTTGCCAATGTCTGCATACTGTGGAATTAATTAGTTGATGGCACATTTTCCTATCATAGTGTGAAAGCTTGATGGAACTCATGCAACTCCTTTGAGAGGTTTTAGGTTGCTGCATTTACACTGTACCTGGGTGAGTGGCATAGTCGATTTTGCAAAGCTGTGAAGGTTTTTGTTGTTTTACCAGGCTGTTCCACAGCTGTCAGCTGCAGCCTCAAAAGGTGATTTTTTTCCAAGCATGACAATCATATTTTGAGAAAAGATACGTGTTCTTAAATTCTGTTGTTGAGAGGTGATGCAAGTATTACCTAGAATTTAATCCTGAAACTATCTAAACCTAAACATTTTTTTAAAATTCTGCTATAGAGTAGTTATATTGGGCCAGCATTGTAACTTTATTTAAATTATTCCATTTCTGAAATCACAACAGAGGTGTTTGGGACATAAGTTGAAGGCTTCCATAATTCTACTATTGCAGGGGGTACATTGAAAGATATTTTTGAAAAGCTAGCTTCTCATTTGTTCTTGATCTCTATATAATTACATACAATATCTATCACTATTTGCCAATTTCTATACTTTCAAAATCTTTTTAGAATTCTTCTGTCATCACAAAAACTGGGAGGTAGATGCTGACCAAATACTGTAGAATCTGCATCTGTTTGAGCAACAAACTATATTTTGTCTCCACCCGCTTTCAAGAAGAGAGAACTTAGTGATTTTGATATAAACCGATCCAGGGAAGACAAAGAGAGAATTCTAGGTTTTATTTAAACAGTTGTTTCTCCTTCCAGCCTAAAAGAGAATGTCAAAAATTCTGCTGCAGGAAAGGCAGAGATGCACTGCCTGAGGACATTTTTATTAACACAGACAGGTGCTGTTGGTTCTGCTACGAAGCCAAAGCATTAGGCACCATGCATAACATTACTCTTTCCCTCTCTAGTTCCATATCTGTTCCCATGACAATTGAGTCCCCTTGTTTTCAAGCCACAGTTCAAGGCTAAGTCTTCTGTGCAAAAAACAGCAAGGGTTTGTGTGTTTCTTTTTTAAACGGGTGGATGGTGAAATCCTTTGTAAAATGCCTACAAGCCATTTAAAAGCTCCAGCCTTGCCTTTTCAACTCAAGAAGTCTTCAAAAGGTTAAAAGCATGGGTGAGCTTCAAGGTCTTTTCCCTGGGCCAGCTGCCAGGGATGTTGTTGTCTTCTCCATGGCAGAGAAAGGGAAGCCAAGGGAGTTGTGCAGAATCCTGCCATAGTAGGAAGATTTGTTACTGAAGCTTCAGGGGTCTTGCTAAGTCCGGTGGTCAGTACGCGGCCAGTCAGACGTGCCATAGGCAGCCGCATTCAGACACTGGCTCATAACAGATTCCAGTCTTGGCTTTCTCGTTCAACGTCAGTCCAGGAGAAATGACATTGGCAAGCCAGAATAATCCCAAGAAGGAAAAATAGGCTGTAAAAGATAAAGAAAAGGAATAATATACTTATGTATTTTCTATCCAAGTGCAAAACTCACAGGCACAGCGTTACATCTTGTTTTCTGAATGTGTGAATGTTAACCCATTGACTATGCTAGCAGGAGAAGATGGCAATCTTATTCCTGCATATCTGCAGAACACCAAATTAGGGAGGGCTACTACAGCCAAACTTGGAGTAGATTGTGTAGAAAATATCATTCACTCTGGGTATTAAATAAGGCAGGTTTGGACTCATTTCTTTTCCACCTGCACAGACTTTAAAAGATGAATGTGATCCCTTCCTTTTCCTTCCATTCCCTCTCATTTTGATTGTATGCCTCAGCACCAACTTGGAACCATAGAAGACATGGGTCTGGAAATCAGCTAATTTGGGGTAAAGGACATAAGTTCAAATAGCACTCTGCCAGCTTTTTGTGTAAAGAGAAATCACAATACTTACTGGCTGATATTATGCTAGCCACTGACAGAGTCACTGAGAGGTAATAGAGCTCAGGAGTGGTTCTGGCCTGGGAAAGATATATGTTATTAATTATAAAGGAATTTAAAATATTTTCTAATATTTAATTTAAGTTAAATTAAAATATTAAATAATTTATTAAATATAATAATTTAATTTAAGTGGTCTCTATCTAGAATCACTCTCCAGTGCGAGGAATTCTCTTAAGATTCAGAACATGCATTCCTTTAGGATCAGAAATCTTTGCTTGAAAGTTAATCTAATACCATTACTCCGTGGTAAACGAATTAGTAGAAGTATATTAAAAAGCCCATGCTTTGTCCAACTCAGATACTAGTTTTTTCAGTGGGACTAAATCTAATGGAGACACAAGCTACGCACACATTGTGTGGCCAAGGCAGTGAGTAAGGTAATACAAACTCCTTCTGCAAAAGAGGCGAGTCCAAAAATGGAGACAGTGGCTCTCAACTCCCACGGGATGTGTTCTGCCATGGCTAAGATTAAAGCCAGTCCTAGAAGATAGTAAGGGGGAGAATTAGCGTATGGAGGTGGACATGATTGCAGGCTCTTCATGTTAACTATACATGCCCCCCACCCTGTCTTTTTCTACAGAGCTACCGGCTGATTGCCGGGTTCTGCAGCAAGAGATTTGTGAAGTCAAAATGGTGACATTATGGCTGGGAGCAATGCGTAAACCCAGTCTACCAATTTGAGGAGCAACGTTCTGCTTCAAAGCTGTGATAGCTCTAAGACAATGGGGGGATACGTGTGCATCCTCATGGAATAAGATGAGCTGTAGAGCACCATCTTGCAGCACTTGTCATCTTGTGGTGCTCTGGAGAGCTCCCGGAGCCTTCACACACCCATAGTGAAGAATGTCAAGACGATGCTTCCCACCAGGTTGTAGAGAAGGGGCTGGCTGCAATAGTGAGAAGATTTAGGTCTGAAAAACAAGGTGGAGAAAAAGACGGCCCAGTAACCATGTGTTCCAAGTTCATAAGCAGGAGTTCTTCAAATATAACTTGGAATGCACAGTTCTGATACTTTATATGCAAGTTTTGCACGAGAGTTATCTTTTACCTGTTGGCAGGCCAAGCTGAATTCTGCTGAATGTAGTGTACATGATATGCATCTTTGCATACATTTGCCTGTAACCTGTCTCATTCCTGCTAGTGCAAGGCACTGTCCCTTTCCCACCGGGTTCCCCCTTACTTGGAAAACTCAATCTGCACATTTTCACACCTGTCTTTGAAGCTTCCTGTCCTGTCCTGTCCTGTCCTGTCCTGTCCTGTCCTGTCCTGTCCTGTCCTGCTGTGGATTCTCTTCATGTTCCACTTCCTATACTCTATAGCCATGGGATACTGCATACAAAACCCTATTCCATTTGTAGAGTGCAGTACAAATCCAGAAGTGCAAATTGAGAATAACACAGGAGCCTGGGTATTTCTCCATCTGGCATATTTGTCAGCATCTCACATGGAGAAGGGTCTTTTCCATCACCTCCTATCTGACCTTTTAAATTAGAGTTTGAACCTGGAACCTTCTGCATGCAATGGATTTCTCCTCTTCAGTCTTTGATTTGTTGTTATTAAGTCCTTATAACTTTTCAATGACTTCCAGATATATTGTACTATAACTTCCAGCATGTACCTAATTTCCTAATGCTAAATTAGAGGGTCTTCTTTATGAGAGGCACTGCTCTCAAGGTTTGGTGATAGTTTTACTATCAGTATAGTCTAAAATACCTGTCCCACCACAGCCTTCCCTTAAATTTTCAGTCCTTTAGGTTTGGAATTTGAACCTTCGGGGGAAAACAGGAAATCGTCTGTTAAGTCTCCAACAGAGACTTTAACCAAAAAAAAAAAAAATAAAAAAAAAAAAATAAAAAAATCCCAGTCCAAGCCCAAAAACACTCATGGGACAGGCCGCAAGTTCTCTCTTCTCAAGGACTTCTCAGGATATTCCGGTTGGCTGCCCCCGTGTTCTAGAAGGTACGCAAGCATGTAAAGGGAATATCGCAGACAAAAAATATCCACTTTATACCGTAGTAGGATGTAGAATTGGAGAAGAAGAGTGGCAATTCCAAGGGCAAAAATCACGAGCTGTCTAGGGAAAAGAACAAGGAAATAAAAACAAAACAGACTGATCAGCACCTTTACTGTTTGGAGAGAGATTACCATAGTTCTGTGCGTTTGGGCATTAGCGGCAAGCAGTGTTAAGGGGTGAATTTCACTCTTGTAATTTCAACAAGTGAAGAGAAAGCTTACCAAAAGGTTGAACAAAAGCTATAGGCCAAGAGATAAGTCATGCGGGTGGGTTGCAGAGGTTTTAAGCCTGGATTAGAACAGATGCAAAAGTGGATTACTGAATGAGGCTTCTGACTGCAGGTACCAAGTGTGAAAGAAGATTTCCCACACAGAGTTACAAATAACATAAATTCATTCTTTTTCCTATGTAAAGCTGACGTGTATAACTAGGATTATGTTCTTATCAGGCAATATAAAAATACAAGCCGTAGGAGTGAATAAGAATAATTTTTAACGTCGCGCCGGAGATGAATTCCAAGATGTGGCAACTTACAGTCTGAATCTCTGGTGCTTTGGTAGCCATCGGCTGAAGTGATGGGCGGTGTGGGCCAGGCAGAAGTGAATCATAGCTGATCCTCAAGAACCTGGCAAGAAAGAGCCCCAGGACCGTAGAATGAGTTGCTTAACTGCAAATGCAAGATTGAAGGCCTGTCATTGCCACAGTGCTGTATCCCTTCCAGGGAAAGGCTGGTCCTTGGCAGCAGAGCCTTCGTTTCACATTCCCAAGGTCCTAGATTCAGGCGTAGCATTTCCAAGTGAAGTCCAGAAGGGTTATTCACTGAAAATGTTTACATTTGCATGCAGACCTTAGCTGGGTTAATGCTTTGTGCTAAGTCATGGTTTTGTTACCCACAGTTTGTTGAATTAAGCACAATGGTCTAGGTTCACACAACACACAAAGACAGCTATCGTGGTTGAGAGACCTCAGTGTGCTAAGCCAAGCCTGATGTGTGAATTCTGACTTGGATTGAGAACCACTGTGTTCTCTCTTTTGTCCTCAGCAGTCAGAGGAAAATTGCTTCTGAATATGGAAGTTCTATTTTGAGCCACCCTAACATAGATTCTTACTAGGGTAGTCTGAAGGGTATCCCTCCTTCTCTGACTCACTCAGCATTGGGCAGATAGCTCCCAGAATTCCCACTCAGCCCTCATCTTTGGAATTCTGGGACTTCTTCCTAACACATGCTCCTATACAGGTGAGGAGTGCATTGGAGTCTTCCCACATCATATGAACATTGAGTTAGGACAAGGGAAGGGTTTGATGTCAGCATCTTTTTCTTCCCCTATCTTCCCCCCACCTTACCTGGAAGCTCCAGCTGATCTTCTGAGTTCTGGCTGATCTTCTGTCTAGAAAGGGTATTATAGATCCTGGATGGATCACCCCTTTCCAACAAGGTGTCAACCTCTAGAAGCAGGCCCCATCTACCTGTTGCTGCTGCCTAGCCACAGAGGTAGCTGGCCAAGTCAGGCATTTTTATATTCATGGCAGGCAGGGATCATTTTTCCTGTATACATTATTCAAACGTTTGCAACTGGCCTTGGAAAATGTACTTCCAAGAGAGACTTGCACTTCAAGGCTGCAAGACTGGAATTAAACACAGACCTCCTGGCTTTAATAGCTGTCCCTTTTGCTTCTGTCTTGATTGGCCTAATAAAGATATGAAATTAAAAGGAATGCAACTTTTAACAGTAAAAATACGGCCCTGGAAAATCTATCAGGATTCAGTAGAAAAAAAGGCCACAGAGTGAAATCCTATCAATCCATTTAAAAGCAATCAAATTATTATGGTACTGTATTGATGTTAATAAACTGTCTGGGGAACAGATATTCCTTCTCTTGTATTTAGCTTCTGTTGTCCTTTGGTGGCTTGTGTGTGCCCAGAAAGAGTGACTCTGCAGTGTAGCAACCAAAACAACCTTAAAATTGGCACTTCCAAAACCGACTGGCTGTCTTGGCAACATTTGAGCTAATGGTTTACAGTCACTTAGCTTCAGACCCATGGGGACCAGAAACTTGGTTTTCATTCACAGGGTAGGCCGATGACTGCAGCACACACCCCTCTTTGGTCGCCCTGACAGAATTGCGGTAGCGTAGTTGCTGAGCTGGCTTGACATCAGAAGGTTGCAAAGCTTCAGGCTCCTCTCGTCTGCTCATGTTTCTGCCCCTCCATTGCATGGAACTGGTTTGCTTTCTATGCTAGCATGAGGCAGTGACTTCTCTTTCTCTTTCTGCTGTTTTTTTTTACTCTTCCAGTGGAAAGTGAAAATAGCTTTCCTTCCCCTTTTATCATGTTCTCCTCCTGCTTCTCCTCCCTTGCAGCATGTGGCCACTGTGACTCGCTTCTCCCTCTGCAAGAGTGGCTCCAGCCGAGGCCTATGGAGGATTCTGACAACCGGGCTGAAGTGGTTCTGCTGGCATGTGGCTCTTTCAATCCCATCACCAACATGCATCTTCGACTTTTCGAACTGGCAAGAGATCACCTGCAGGAAACGGGTAAAACTGGGTGCTTGGCTGGGAGCCAAGCTGGATTTACTAACCCAGCATGGAGATCCATACTAACCCTGGCATTGGATCCAACGGCCTAGCTCCAGCAAGTTTCCTCCAGATGTTTTGCCCCACAACTCCTGTTACCCCCAGCCTGTCAGGGCTGGACGACAAAACTTATAGTAGGACGCATCTGGGAGAGAAAAACTGGCAAAAGGTTACCTGGGGAGCTTTATTGTGTATTTATCCAAGGTGATTTGAACCAGGCTTCTCTGATCCTAGTTGGAGCGTCTACCTACGGCAACCCAGAGGTTTCTTTGTATTGGCATCCACAGGGAAATACAAAGTGGTCAAAGGGATCATTTCGCCTGTGGGGGACGCCTATCTGAAGAAAGGCCTGATCAGCGCCAGTCACCGGGTAACCATGGCAAGGCTCGCAACAGAAAACTCAGACTGGCTGGAAGTGGACGACTGGGAAAGCAGCCAAACAGAGTGGCAGGAAACCATCAAAGTTCTCAGGTATTGGCTGGCGCTGGGCGTCTTTCCTCGTCTTGCAGGAAAGCCGTGCTGTGGGTGGATTTCCAGAGGTTCTCAGCTTTCCTTTAAAAGAAAAAAACATACCCACGAGGTCTCAACCCCGGTGTGTCTCAGTAAGACAGATGTTTAATAGACAGGTGTGGGACTGGATTGCAAGCCTATCAGCTTATATGTACTTTGATACAGGGTAAGTTTTGGGGAGCAGAGATCTCTCCTACCAGGCTTCTGTCAAGCACTGTGCACCTGGTTAAAACTGCATAAAGTTACAACAGGAACGTGGCTTTAAATGATCAGAAGAACTTCAGTGCTGCCATCCCATTGTGTACGTCCCTCTCTTTTTTCAATGTTGTTTTCTAGATATCACCATCACAAGTTGAAGCATTCATATTCTTCCAACTGCTTTGAGGAAGCTCCTCTTCCAAGCAAAGCAGGCCGGAAGAGAAAGCGGGCAACAGGGAGCCAACTCCCCGTTCGAATGAATCAATCCAAACGAAAAGGTTAGTTTTGTTTCAGAATCCTGGGGGCCAGAATATTTAGTTAGGAGGCAACTTACAGGCTTCTTAGTTCAACCCTTTCCTCAGTTCTGGATCTTTAATGCAAGATGCAGCTTATGGTCTTCCTCTAGATAGCCATTCGTCATCTGCTTGAGTATCTCCAGTGATATTCCCAGACAGCAACCGTACCCTAAGATCATCTTTGGCATCAAAGGGATACCCCTGAGCCGATCTTTCCAGCGGTGCCCTCCCTCCATGCACTCACCCTGGAATCCCTCCTAAGTTGATTTTAAATATAGTATAGGACCCTTTAACTACTTTGGCTAATATTTTGATTGTGTGCTTGTTGTATTTTGCATTTTAAGAGTAAAGACACACTTAATCAAGCGTGCCAGAGCCGATTTGAAAATACTTTCACTGCCCTGAGCAAGCAGATACTTTCAGTAAAATCAAATAAGCTGAAGCTGAAACCACCATCACTGTTGGCCTGGCTGGTCCAGTAGGCATCTGTTGGCCAGTACTGGTAGCATCATCAACAGAGGTCCTTCCTCATTTATAACTCCAGAATTTGAACTTCTTGGGAGCCAAATGTTGCTGATTCTGGTGCCAAGAGCTCTGCTGTCCAGTGTCCCTCCCATGCTGGCCTGTTGTTTTTCAGGCATCCCCCAGCTGAAGCTGCTCTGCGGAACGGATGTTCTGGAATCCTTTGCAGTGCCCAGGCTCTGGAAGCCAGAAGACATCCTGGAAATTGTGTCCAAGCACGGCATGGTGTGCATTACCAGGTTGGGGAACCACGCGCAAAAGTTCATTTACGAGTCCGACATGCTGTGGAAGCACAAAGAGAACATTCACCTGGTGGAGGAATGGATTACCAACGACATCTCAGCAACCAAGATACGGAGAGCACTGAGGAGGGGCCAGAGCATACGGTATCTAGTGCCCGACATCGTTCAGGCTTACATCACACAGCATAATCTATACACTGCAGAGACTGAAGACCACAATGCAGGAGTTGTCTTGGCTCCTTTGCAGAAAAACGCAAGAGGGCCCATAAAAAATTGAATGGGGGTGGAGTGGGGAGAGAGCAGGAATAGGGTCAGATTGGCACACATTGGAGCAGTTTTAGGTGGTGTCTCCTCCCTACTCACTTGGTTATGACCACCAAGGGTAGTAGAGTCCCACCGCGTGTCGGGATTGAATTTTGGAACATGGTCGACTTACTGGCCGAAATAACCATAAGCTGGCTTCCTGTACCTTTTGAAGCTTCTTGACTTGCAGCAACCAAGGTATTCGACCCTTAGCTTCTGCAAATCAAGGAAAGGTTGAAACGTTGGCAATGGCCATCCAACTTTATGGATCTTAATCCCAGTCTGCCTCATAGCTCTGTTCTCCATTGTGGAGATTCAGGGCTGGCTAACACATCCTTACGCTTTTGTTATTTGGCAGCCCCGAGGCTAGATTGGGGTCTGCTTCCAGTTTCAAACGGAGTGTGTCCATCTGGGCAGCCATCGCCGTGGCTCATCTCTGAGTCGTCGGCTGGTATCTTTGCATGGCACTTTTTGAATGGGAATAGGAAATGAGGGCCGTTTCCCATTTCTTAGCTCTGATGATGCACCGTTTTAGTCCTTTCTGTAGTTCGGGATGCAGTGACGGACGGGGCTTCTAAAGAGATGGAGTGTGCTGCTAACTGGGAAAGACTCTTTCCCTGAAAATGAATGTTACATAAAGCCTGCATCTTCAGAGAAATATATTGTCTGTTGCTCTGATAAATCCTACCTCCCCGGTGTTCCTAGTACTTCAGTGCAGCCCGGTTTCCTCTCACTTGGACGTAAGCTGTTCTCGGTCCGGAGTGATCGGGGTGCCACTTTAAGTGCCTTGTTGATTTAAGCACTAAAGCATTTTTTAAGAGACTGTGGTTGGAGCTTGGAGGTATGAGGTATGTTAAACTGTGTGGACATGAGAAACCACATTTGCCTGCTAAGGTGGTCTCGGAATGTAGCATTTTAAAATGCTGGGTCTATCGTTTAAGGTGTTACCACTTTAGCTGTGCAGGATGGTTCATTTGATTGAATACGTCACACGCAGATAGCAAACACTAGGCAAACATTCACTGTGACATACTCGTTTTCTACAAGTATGGATTTTTTAAAATTTTTGCTGGAGCATTCAATCATGTGAGCCACACAGGCTGATCATGTCAGCGGGTTTATTTAAGCTCTTATTTTATACAGGATGCCCTCCAGATGGGCATCAAGATGATAAACCTCTTCTGCAGCCCAAAAGGTGGGCTGTCCTGCGTGGCCAGTGGTGGACCACAGCTGTTCCATGACCCTGTGAAGCCAGTTTACCTCCTTTGGTATCCCCGAGGCAGAACAAATTAACAGCATTGGAGAGATCTAGCAGCTCAGAGTGTTTTCTGATTGTATTTCCCAGGGTTTTTTCATCCCCTAATTCAGTGTTTTTCAAACTTGGCAACTTTAAGATGTGTGGACTTCAACTCCCAGAACTCCCAGCGTGCTGGCTGGAGAATTCTGGGAGTTGAAGTCCACACACCTTAAAGTTGCCAAGTTTGAAAAACACTGCCCTAGTTGGACTGAGTCAGAACTGCTGATGCAGGAGTAGGAAGCAAGCAATAAATCTCGCTCCTCAAACTTCTGTACCAACAGGAACAAGCTAGCTTGGAACATTTTTTTTGAAAAACCCAGCTGTGAATTTTGAATTTTGAATAAAAAATACTGGAAAATATAACCTAGAATTAGTAAGAACCTACAGGGGGTGCTACATCCTTGGCAGCAGATTGCCAGAGGAAAAAGGGTGTAGGGGGGAAAGGGAAAAAGAGAAATACAGAAAATAAAGAAAATATGAAACTTATCTATGATGATTGAAGTTTGGCAGGACAATGACAGATTTTGTTTAGAGTGGGAGGAAAATATACCTGCTGGAACAAGAAAGACCCTTATGAAAATCAACACTCATCAATGTTGTTATTTCTGATGATTTTTTCTTTAAGTAATTACATGTGTATGTGCGCCTGTATGTTTTCCTTTGAAATTTTTGATTTTTTTCTTTCAGATTTTAATCATTAACAAAAAAGAGCCCTTTATGCACATCATCTTTAACTGCAGAACTGCACTTTGCCTCCCTCCACACAACCTACCCTTGAAAATCATAATGCTGTTTTGTGTGTGTGTGTGTGTATGTATAAATTCTGAACTTGATACTATAATCATAATGTGAACGAGCCAGAAAATCAACACATATTCTGTGTAACGTGGGTGGGAAAAAAGATAATAAATGTAGTACAATACAATCAGAAATCAACCCAGTTTTGTCATTTTCCACCGGGATTGTGAAGAGGTCCATAGCTCAGGGCTGACTCAAAACATTTTACTTGGGTCAAAATAACACTGAAAACCTATTGGGGTGGTGGCTGGATCTCACTTCAGTTTTAATTCTGCAAAGAGCTACGAGGTTGGGATGCTGGAGAGAAGAATCAGCCGGGAGATTCTTCCAATAAAAAGCCAACTACTCTAGCACTGTGGCAGAGCTCCTGCTTCTCACGCAGCAGTTTTTTGGGTTCAGACTTTGACCTAAAACTGACACCAAGATCCCGAGTCCTGATGTATTTTGGTTCAGTTCAGTGGGTAGCGTGAATCAAACCAATTGAGATTTATAAAACAAGTTTTATGGCCTTGTGTGTTACGCAACCATCCAGTTATGATTTATTTGACAAGTTATGGCTGTGACTTAGCGTAATGTTTGAGTCCAGTTTCTGTTCCTCTATTGATCAGGAGTCCACCTGAACTCCATGGGACTTCACATTGCATTTAGATGGAGCTGGGAGGTCCTGAAGGGGAGTTAGAACTTGACTGAATGCCCAGCATGACCTGGTGAAAGAAAGCAGACAGTGCTGCTTGAGTGTTCACATTGGATTACACCACAAGGGGAGAGAACAATGAAGCACGACAGACCAGAAAGCAATTTGGGTTTGGCTTTGCAGCCCCATGGTGGTTTGAAGATTGGAGAGCAACGCCTGGCCAAGAAATGTGGTCAGAGTTCAGTGGTACCTACTGACCTCAAAGTACTTTTGCAGATGTTTCCAGACCATCCAGAACAATAAACAGATGAGTTGGCCCACAGAGGAACCTGGTTAACAAGAGGAAGTCTCTTTTACGCCCACAGATTTAAAAATATCTGGAGAGAGAGAGATAAAACTTTGGCAGAAGTGCATTCTCGAGCAAAGGTTAGCCTGTGGGTGTTGCTTCATCCCTTTTTATGCAACAAAATTGAGTTGTAACGCACAGTGCGGAAGGCCACACTGACCTCTGTCCTTGATGATTGCGTTATGAAGTCCAGCACCCTCTTTCTCATTATATTTTTGAGAAGCCTACAACTTTGTGTGTGTGTGTGTAAGTTGCAGTGCCCCTACCCTCTTATAATATCCCCATGGATGGATGCTTAGAGGTATACTGCTTCTGAACAAATGGTTCCATTGCCAAATAACCATTGCTAATAAGAACGTAAAGAGGAGGTCCACCAGGTTGGATCAAAGTTTAGTCAATCAACTTGCTTGATGTCACGCCCAGCCAGATCCTTTGGTTTTCAAGGATTTTTCACGACTGGGTTTCTCTTTGGCAGGGAAAGTCCTTTTTTCCAAATCTGATGGGCTTCTAGGAATGTATGTCTTCATATTGAACTGTGCCAGGTGACAAATCTTCACCCGCTGGGCTTACTAGCTTACAACACCGCACAATTCCTTTTTCTACTTGCAATTCCTTTTTCTACTCACGAATACTCTGCCTGCTTCCATAATTCATTGCCAAAAACACAAGCATGAGACTATCTTAGATGAATATAAAACAATTGTAGAGGGAGATAAGTTCATAAATGGTTGATCAGCACCAGTAGAACATCTCAGTTTTAGAGGCAGACTACCGTTCACTGCTTTGTTCCCTTTATTTGGAATACATTGAAAGATACTTTAAACATAAATTGGTGGCAAAATGGCAAATCAATAAACATCCAGGGTGGCTTTTCAGCTTCTGGTCAGCTTCCAGAAGACAGCTGGCTAGTTCTTGTTGCAAGCAGAACGCTGGCCTGAAACAATGGGACTCCTCTTTTGATACCAATGGAGTCTCCGTGTGCAGAAGTGGGATCTCTCCCAATATTTAATGCTGGGAAGAAACACCATGAGTGTGAAGTTTACAGGCTTTGCTTGTAGGCTACTCGAGACACAGGGAACTAAGCCTTTTGCTCCTTGGATCTTTAGGTAGAGCTCTGGGTTTTAATTCTTGGCCACTGCCGGAGAGGGGAAATGCAGATTTTACTCTGATCAGCCCCAAGAGAGGTTAAACTGTCCTTTGCGTCTGTGACTCATGAAACAGTTACTTTAGCTCTACACTGGATTACAGCTGACATGAACTTTCTCCTCTTGAGGCCCAGCTGCAACAGATCTTGATCCCACCTACTGTTGTCCTTCCTGATTCCCCTTATATAGAGAAGGCATGGTCAACTCAAGCTTCTCATTTGAGTGCTTGGACCTTTTAGTGCCTGTTTATCTCCATCTCTCTCCTCAGCCATGCCAGTGGATTTTAATGGCACGTGGAATTTTGTCCGGTCTGAGAATTTTGAAAGCTATATGTTGGCTTTAGGCAAGTAACGGAGGTTTAAGATCCATTGCTGCCTCTTCTCTTCCTCCTCTTTCTCTGAGATGCTTACGTAGTTGATGGCATCACTTCGTTTTCTTTCAAAGACAGAGCTATGCCTGTGAAACTCTATGTAATCTCTTTTCTGCTTCCCCTTCGGTTTGCCTTTCCTTTTATGCTAGGTGGTTAATTTAACCTAGAATTTGTACTGTGTTTTTCATTGGGTTAACACAGACGTAGGCAAGGAGCAAAATATGTATTCTTCTATATCTTGAATGTTGTGTAAATTGGGTTTCAGATGCTTAAATAACTTAGCCTTAGCCACAGTATATTTTGCTTGTGTGTGGCTAAGCCCCCACATCATTACTCTGCCGTCATTTTAACTGTGGCTTGTTGAATAAACCACACTTGTCTGTTTTGCACACCATGCTAAGCCATAAATCAGGGCTTATAAATCGTAACACTGGGTTCAGTGCAATAGTCTAAGCCATAAGCAAACCATACTATGATACTTAACAGAAATGCTACTTGATCCATCTCTGTTTATTGAATATACATATTACATACTTACAGACATAAATTCAGTTCATGTATTTTAGTTCTCAGTGCCATGCTAACTGTTAGTTTCTATCTTCAGCTGCAGTAACTTTGCCGCTCTTGACTCCTTTTCCTTGTGTATGCAAAGCCTGGTCATTTTCTGGAGTAACCTCCAATCAGTGCTATGTTCCTCTGTTGTTCCTGAATTAAACATTAATCTGCTGAGTTTTGATTCGTATAAAGGAATCTTGGCACTGGTTTGAAATGAATGCATAACATCCTGACTACGATCAAGGAGGGCAGCATTCATTTAAGCGGGGGAGCCAATAAACACGTGGCGGGAGACAATGTTTAACTTCCGTCTGTAACTTCTGTGTCTGGCAAAGGTATAGATTTTGCAACTCGCAAGATAGCAAATCTGCTGAAGCCTCAGAAGGTCATAAAACAGGAAGGAGATTCCTTTTCTATCAGCACAACAAGCACTTTTCGAAACTATTTTGTCCAGTTCAAGATTGGAGAGGAGTTTGATGAAGATAACAAAGGTTTGGACAACCGAAAATGCACAGTAAGTAAGCCAGTCAGACCCCTGCTGAAACTTTAAACTAACAGCTTTTGCTGTAAACCTAGACTGAGCGCTTTTCTTAGATTTCCAGGTGTGCTTCAAAAACTTTTTTCATGGGGCATGTGAAGGTAGTTACTGAACAGCATCCCTGCAGATCTAGACCAAATATTAACTTGTATGGTGATATATGCTGAGACTTATGGTCAAAATCATAGGAAATATTTCTTCACGCAAGACCAAGTTCTTCCAGTTTTCTTCGTTTGAGGTTATTCTGCTTTTAGCAGAAGAGGTTTCTTTCCTTTAATAGATCTATGAGCACATAAGATGTTGGCATTGCAAAAAAAGGCTGCAGCCTATTCAAAGATCCTATTACATCAGTTGGTATTCCTCATGAAAAAGTATGAAATGAAAATAAAACCTCATTTAAAACTTTCTTCTGGGTTTTTTTAGGGGAGGAAATTTGCTCTGGATATTGGCTTACCCATGGCTCTTAAAGTCTCAGAAGCCCGGTAACTGAAAATGCTGGCTGCTTAAAGTGTTAAAAAGTCTTGCTTAGCAGAAAATATGTGGGTTAAAATATGTTACTTTAGAAATCTGTTCAGTTAAAAATGGTCTGAAACTAAGCATTAAAAGAATCTTCCCCTTTCAATGCAGAGTGTGGTTACTTGGGACAATGATAAAATTGTCTGTGTCCAGAATGGAGAGAAGAGGAACCGAGGCTGGACTCACTGGATCGAAGGAGATGAACTGTATTTGGTAGGAAGCCTTTTGATGGATTAACTTGAATTGATCTAGATTAAGAGATCCAACTCAGGGTCCCAGGGTTGGGAACAGATCAGTCTTCTCAAATATTCTACACATGGGCTTCTTTGATCTGAAGCATCTCCATGAAGAAACCACAACCATTTTTTCACATGCTTGGGATACAAAATGTGCACTAATCTAATTTTTGCAGCTGATTAACTGGTTTGTGGTATTAACCCAAGCAATTGCGGTTTATTCAGGAAGTAATGCTTAAATGTAAGGTAGCATAGTGGATAGGTTTAGCGGGTGGATTGCTTCCATTCCACCCATTATCCATAATGTATAATGTTATACATTATAAGTAATGTATAACAGAAGCAGGGGGACAAAGAGTAGATGATGCTAAAGCTTTCTTTCAATGGAGAGGCTTGTAATGAGCTGGGATTTGATCCTAACTCAGTTAAGTGGGGATGTGAACTGGATTGTGGGGTGGGTTTGAGATGCAACCCATCTTAGCCAGAGTAGTCTGAGGTTGGATCCCAGCATTGAAGACTCGGTAGTCCACGGCTGTCTTTATGTGTAGGAACTCTGTTGCGAAGACCAAATAAGCAGGCAAGTTTTCAAGCGAGGATGAACCTCAAATGGGACTTCTCGGAAGGAGAGCTGCCCGGGCCACCACCTTCGAGGCATGCTTTCCCACAGCACCTCTTTTACTGCAAGTCAGCAGCGTGGGAACTTCAGCCCTTTCTCCATTGCGTCTTTATTGGAAATGCCCGTGTGGATTCCCGGAGCAAACAAAGCGGCTGTTACGAGGTCACTTCATTAAACGTATTGGCAATGCAGCTTGGCGTCTCTAGTCTTTATGCTCCCTTTACGCTTGTCCCAAGATGTCTTCCTTGGGGATGCTTTAGGGCCGTCCGGCTGAATGGGATCGGGGAACCCTGATATGGAACCTGGCTACATTCACACAGTACATTAACCTACAATAGGGTTTGCCTGTATGTCTTTTTCCCTCTGGTTTAGCATGTTATCTGACCCAATCTTTGGTTTATAAACCATGGTTGGTGGCTTAGCATGTTGTAGGTGCTTCAACCACGATTTATTTAGGAAACAAAGGAGATGGATGACATGTCTTCTCAGAAGGGGAAAGTTGGAGCAATTTTGATCTCCTCTTACCAGGAGGGTGCGTCCATATGCAATCTGATACTTGCAGGAGAGTTGCCAAATGGAGTCAAAACCTGGAGGAGGCTCAGGAAAGCTTCTGATTCTTAATACAATCAGTTGGAAAACATGCTCCTGATTGTTTGAAACCAGAGAGTAACACGGCTCTCCTCCTACAGGGTCTGAAATGAGGTAGAGAACAGGATCTGGCCACATCCACGTGACACACTTAACCTAGCCACTGAATTAACCACGTTCAGGAGTTTGAAGCTTAACATGAACCAAGCTTAGTGTGCTGCGGGGAACGGCTGCCAGCAATTGAATTGCACCCCCACTTTGTTCCCCTGAAGTTGCAAATGCCGGCCGTGTGCACCCCACAAGGTTTACCCGTTCCAAAGCAGGTCAGGCACCCCCTGAAAGTATTTTTCTTCCCCAGGCCTTGTGAGTGGGGGAAGCATTTATTTTTCTCCCCTCTGGTCTAATATTGTATATTGTTTCTATTTATTTTGTGCTTCCCCCCCAACATTTGATAGCAAATTGCCTTATAGAAGCATTTTGTCAGTGCTTTAAGCACATGGGGAGATTTAGGGGCCAGCCCGGTGTGCAAACTCAGCCCATTGTTCACTCTAAGATTAAACAGTTTGTTGTACAGGGAGTCCCCAGGTTAAGAACAAGTTCCCTTCCCAAGGTCTGTCCTTAAATTGAATTTGTATGTAAGCCAGAACAGTATTGTGTAATACTGTCTAAGTAATATTGTGTAATTAACTTGAACCATCGTGTACTTAAATCCTTTGTGCATTTAACTTGAGTTTTCCTACAACAGGCTCCATTCTCAACTACGGGTCATCCTTAAACCTGGCATTCTTCACCCGGGGACTACCTACAAACCTAGGAAATTGAACCGTGGTCTGAACGCAGCCCCTTTCCAAGGCTTTTTAAAAAGCCAGGGCTGTGCCCTTCACAATTATGGCAATTTAATGATGAATTACATGATACAGTAGAAGGAATCAGCTGTTATTCACTGGAGGGGAAGACCAGTATGGTGCTTTTACTGCTATCGATTTATATTGGCTTAACGTTATAATTTATACTGCCTTGCGAGCCTAATTTAGTTTTTAAAAGATCTTGCTTCGGCGCCTTTGCAGGAAGACGCCTCCACGCTGGCTCCGCCCCTTAAGTCTTTT